AACACAACTTTTTTGCTGCAGAATGTGATAAACTGATAAAGAAAATTTGTATTTCCAAGCATGATAACTTCATTACAAACTTACAAACTACTGTATTTACTCATGTACATGTACAATAATGTAGCTCTATACCATATAACCTTTAAAATATAGCATGGCTAGGGGGCTGAGCCCCTTAATGTTTTACATTCGTCTAGTATTTATAATATTTCTTTAGTTGCCATTGTGATGCTTGTTGATTTTACACAAACAATAATTTTCTTTATTATTATTATCATTTTTATGACTTTACATCATTTATGAGAGACAGCATTGAATAGACATGCTGAAAGAATATCAACTATCCTGATGACAAGTGAAATTAATACTAGTCTTGACACAGTCCTTGTTCAAGAAGCTGTGAGCTGAGAGTGTCCATCTTCCTTGCATGTTATGTTGCAGCTATTCCTGTTCTTCCAGGCTGTTGTCATTCATATTATCATTGCATATTATACATTAATTAATTGTTTGTTTACTACAAGCAGATATTCTCACAACTAAGCAAAACTTTGAGTCAGACTTAGTACAAGAGTGTGCTAAGGGTAATAGCTCTAGACTGTTTCAATATATGAAAAGCACTCTCAAAGAGAAGTCAGTTCCTGACTTTGTTTCTTCAGGTGACTCCTCTGTAAGCTCTGATCTTGGTAAGGCTACTCTATTTAACCAGTTCTTCCATTCTGTGTTCTCCGATTCACTCCCCCCTCCTACTACCTCCACTCTTTCTCCTCCTGCTTACACGTTGCCTGACTTTGAAATCACTGTAGGCGACGTGTTTAAAGGGCTGTCAAGTCTCAACATCAGAAAGGCTTCTGGCATTGACAATATTCCATCTATTGTTTTAAAGTCTTGTGCAACTGCACTCTGTGAGCCCCTACATCATCTATTTGTTCAATGCCTTTCTCAGGCCTATATCCCCCAGGAGTGGAAAATCCATCGTATCACTCCCATCTTTAAATCAGGAGACAGAACTCTGGTGAAAAACTACCGACCGATTTCCTTGCTCTGTATTGTCTCCAAAATTCTAGAGAGGATTGTCTTTGATAAAATGTATGACCATGTTACATCTCTTTCTATCTGCAGAGGCGTATTTAGGGGGGGCTGAGGGGGCTTGATCACCCCCCTCAGGGCTGGGCTCAGAAAAAATTACTGAACTCCTGGACTCTTGCAACACTACCAAGCCTCTTAACAAAGTTATTTAGCCCCCTGATCATGATTTCAGCAGTTTCCAGTGCTTTAAGGAGCAATCAGAAGTACCAGTAACATAGCAGTATGCTTGAAATAATCTTGGCCCCACCCGTAATTGACGAAAATGCAGGAAAAGGCCGTTTTACCGCCGTAAAAGTGGGTGTGGCCAAAATCGCGGCGCGCTTCGTGCGCCCTCAGCACCCCCCTTCTCTGATTCCTAGATACGCCCCTGATCTGCTCTAGGCAATTTGGATTCCTACGAGGTCGGTCTGTCACGAAAAAAATTGTCCCCCGTGAAAATTTATCCTAGGATAGAAATATCACGTGATATTTTATGTCCGCGTCAGCAATTTTTTGTCCTACCAAAAGAAAAGTGTAAAGGAACTGTAAATCTTTGTATTCGACTTTGTTCCTTAATTATTTATCTATGGAATCCAAGTACAAAGCATATGGGACCCTTTATTATACGTTCAAAGTACGTAGAAGAAGATTTCAGATCGAAGAAGGATGACAGACTGTGTCAAGAACCGAGTAAAGACTGAACCCAGGAAAGAATTAAGAGGATGATCTTGTGGAGAAGGCAGCTGTGTATTTAGCTGATAGGAAGTGTCCAGAAGGTTGTAGTGCTAACAGAAAGAGGCAGATATGGAAAAGAGCTGAAAAGTTTGCTTTCAGTGCAAAATGGGGAACCGCCGTATTACCAGACCAAGATGACTGAATGGTCAACTATATCATGATAGTGTAGGTGTTTTGTGTATTTTAAATAGTTTAGTTAGTTATGTGTATATATGTATGTACGTAGTATGATATCTGTTCTTTTGTAGACAAACTCAGTATGTATGTGCATCTGTATTCACGATTTGAATAATTAAATCAAAGCATCAATTATAACAAACTGATATATGATAGCTTGCCCAGCGATGGTATTGATAAACGTACCAGAAAGCAGATAGCAGCAATACCGAAATGCACCGAGTACAGGGAATTAAAGTGACTGTTCCTAGTATGCAAATTAAGGCAAAATGGACAATAAGATTGTGGTTTATGTGCCCTTGCTTTAGCAATGTCAATTTGTGCTGGTTAAGACCTAACTTCTTGCAGCTATATTTCACATAAGCTTCGTTTTCATCTTTTATAATACTTAGAAAAGAATGTGATGTCTTTGTTTTCTACTTGTTTAAGAGCTAGATGCCCTGGACTATCCAAAGAATACAGGTTACCTATATTATACTGCCTGTGCAGACAACCTATAGTAATGAAGGAAGAATGGTAAAATGTTCTTAATATAAGGAGTGGTATCACGTAGAGTGTGAACAAATACCAGAAGATGTTTGGACTGATAAGGACTACGTTTGGTCATGTAATTGTTGTAAAAGTTGCATGAAGACAATTATTGTGCGATAATGAAATGTATTATTATTATTATTATTATTAATACTGAGTGCTAAGTAAATTTTCCTTATCAAAATAGTCTATATATGCATAATATTATGATCCTAGGATAAAATATTTCAGATACAATTTGTCCTAGGACAAAAATATTTCATATATTATTTTGTCCTAGGACAAAAAAAATTAGTCCTATGGTAGGACAATAAAAGCTTGCCTAGGACAAAATATTTCTGAAAAATTTTGTCCTAGGACAAAATATTTCTGAAAGATTTTGTCCTAGGATAAAATATTTTGTCTCATGGGACAAAATTTGGGTGGGACAGATTTTTCTGTGACAGGTCAACACTCCAGCAACTGTTGGTACATTTACACTCCATAGTCAATTCACTCTCTAGTGGTCTTCAATCTGATGTCATCTACCTTGACATTAAGAAAGCTTTTGACTCTGTGTCCCATGACATCCTCCTACTAAGCT